ACACACACACACACACACACACACACACACACACACAAATATGTATGTATATCTCCCTCTACACACACAAACACGTTCCAGCTTGCAAATCCCACGCATTATGCTAGCAGAAGTCAAGAAAAAACACTTTTTGAAGGGTTGGCTCTTGTTCCCTCCCTGTGATTCAGTTCCTGAACAATAAAATCCATGCATCCAGTTCAGTTTGGAATGACTTCCCAGGCTTGTCCTCAAGCATGCGGAGTTTGTACAGTGTTCTGAAGGTATAAACACATCCTTAAAAGACTTCACTGCTTCTACAGATGAACTGAAGACCCAGACAACTGGCTGTGAGTGACAGAATGAATAGTAGTGTTTCGATCTTTTTCCTCTACAATGCTTTGCTTCTCTACATTGGATGGAGCTTTTAAGATTAATACCAACATTGCCTGGAGTGTGGGCCTGTGTTTCAGTCTTCAGGATGGAGAGAAAATATATAACAACATGAGCTAAAGTTGTCTGGATCCACTGGGAACCATGGTCTCCCAGCTTTTTCCAGGCTGGGCTCAGAGAATACCAAATCTCCGAAGGTTCTCCTATATCTCTTGTGATTTCAAGGTAAGTCCCCTTTTCCTCTGACTCTGCCCCACTGACAAAGCACAGTTTTCTTTGTCTTCTTCATATCATTTCCTCTGTGCTTTTATCTTCTACTCATCTTCCTTCCACAATCATATAATGTAAAGAGTTTCCTGTAAAGATTTCTAGAGTTCTTGATGGATATTCTGTGGCTTGACTGTAGCAACACTTTCATTATGTATGTGTGTATCAAGTATTATGTTGCAATGCCTTCAATGTGCAATGAAAGCTGAAACTAAAAAAAAATATATCAAAATATATTGTGTTCATATATGAAATTTCAAAGAATAAATAAATAAATAAGTATGGTGCTCCAATCCAACAGAAGGCAGGAGCCGAAAATCTTTGCCTTTCACCAGAGATTCTTGGTGGAATCTGGAATCAGCTTAATGGGTATTTCTTTTTCTTGTCTTTTCTTCTTTTTTGGTCTCTCTGTCTCTCTGTGTGTCTCTGTGTGTCTCTGTCTGTCTGTGTCTTTCTCTCTGTGTGGCGTGGTATGGGTGTGTGTGTGTGTGTGTGTGTGTAGGTACCTGTGGTGCTGAGTTACAGCTTTACATGGGTTCTGGAGTTCAAATCTCAGGTTCTAGTACTTGTAAACTATCTCCCCAGCCCCTTCTCTTGGTTCTTGTTATTTCTAGTTGTTCAGTAGCTCATATTTTGTAACTGTTATGTCAAAGGAGGAAAATGGGCTCTGAACAGATACAGTCTCCAACCTATCACAGGGTAAAAGGGAAAGAAGTCCACCCTGACCCTGAAACCAGAGCCAGTGTAAGAAACACACCCTGACCCTGAAACCAGAGCCAGTGTAAGAAACACACCCTGACCCTGAAACCAGAGCCAGTGTAAGAAACACACCCTGACCCTGAAACCAGAGCCAGTGTAAGAAACACACCCTGACCCTGAAACCAGAGCCAGTGTAAGAAACACACCCTGACCCTGAAACCAGAGCCAGTGTAAGAAACACACCCTGACCCTGAAACCAGAGCCAGTGTAAGAAACATACCCTGACCCTGAAACTAGAGCTAAAAGGTTAAAAGGGGCCAGTGAAAGAAACATACTTTGGCCCTGAAACCAGAGCCAAAGAAACACATTCTGCCCCTGATCAACTCATCACAAAACCAACCAATTCCTGAGCAGGAAAAACACCAATCCCTGAGCCAATCTCTGAGCTTGTCAAGCTCAGTGGATTGAAATTTGACCAATTCCCACCCTGAAAATCTTCGCCCTGGAAAAACTCCACCCCTAAGAAGCCCTATATAAGCCCTGTGCCTGTTCAGTTGGCAGCTGCCCTTCTCCACCCTGGCAGAGGCAGCCACTCTCCTGGATTCCTCCTTCCCAAATAAAGCTCTTGAAAGAGTTCTGGGTGAAGACCTTCTTTTGCTCCAGAGCAGAATCTCGGCTGGGATTCCCTTTAAGGGATACTCCCTTAAGGGAGCAGAGCAGAAGTTAACTTTTTGCCAGAGCCGGAACAGATTGCTACATTTCTGCCGGGGTTTCCCCCTAGCAGAGTGAATCAAAGAACAGAGAAGTCACAATTGGCCAGAGCGGAGAAGAAAGGGACATCTCTGCTGGGAAACTCCCTAGTGGAGTGGAGCAGAGCTTAGCTATAATGGCTCGCTCTCTCTCTCTCTCTCTCTCTCTCTCTCTCTCTCTCTCTCTCTCTCTAACTCTCTCTCTCTCACACATACACACACACACACACAAACTGTAGGTATTGTTTGACTTCTGGCAGTCAGGGTACCTGTCCCTCCAGAGCTGTAACACTTGCTCACAATGGAGCAAAAGCAATCTACATTCAGGAGAAACATTCCATTTCTCCTGAGTTTTTCTCCACCCTAATAGCTTGATCCTCTCTTACCATGCTGAATGGTGGCTGTACAGATTAGGTGTATTAAAAGCACCTTTGGGGCTGGGGTTAGAGTAGTTGACTGGCATGCATGAACTCCTGAGTTCCATCACATAAACCAGGCACAATGGCAGGTGCCTGAAATCTTAACACTAGAGAGGTAGAGCGACCAGGATTAGAAGTCCAAGGTGATCCTCTGCTAAGTAAAGAGTTCAGTGCAAACCTGGAATACATTGACACCCTGTCTCAAAAAAGGAGGGGGGCAATGATGATGGGACTCAGTGGATAAAGAAACTGCTATCCTAGAGCAATAACCTGAGTGCAAATCCCCAGAATCCATATAGAAGCTGGAGCAGTAGCATGCATATCTTTAATTCCATAGCTCCTGTGCTGAAGTGGGCAGCAGAGACAAGAAAACCCTCCAAACTGGCAGGCCAGCTAGCCTGACTTCCACAGCAGGGACACTAGAGATGCTGTCTCAGATAAAGTAGAAGGTGGAATGTTGTGGAATATTAATTTAAGATGTGTTGCATTCATTTGTATTTTGGAATATTTGTTTAATGATGCAAAGATATGTTACACTTGTTTGATTAAATAAGCAACTAGCTGACAGGAAATGGTAGGGAGGAACTAGGTGTGGCTAGGGTTCTTAAGTGGGGACTGAGCAAAAGGACACCCTGTTTTGGGGGGAGATGTGAGCTAGGAGAGAAGGTTAGCTAGTTGCTTGCTATTCAGCCTCTCTGAGGGAGCAGATTTTCACCTCAGCCTTTGAATCCTGATTTCTACAGAAGGTTAGAGATCTAGATAAAGTTCCCTTTAGTGGCTGTGATGGAGCCGGTGCCTGAAGGAACAGAATTCCCGCCTGGCTATGGCCAGTGCAGCTGAACCACTACTGGTAGCTGCAAAGTTGCAATTGCTAATTAGGACAGAAGTTGCTTAAGGGGCGGCTACTGAATTTAATGAACAACAGTGGAGACTGGTACCTGTGGTTATTCTTTAAATATGGACACTGAAGGCATACATGTAGGGGACTGTGGGGCTGCTCAGACACTTTCAACTTTCAGGTTTATTGGACATAACCCACCAAAAATCAAGGATCATTTGCTTCATCATGGGAGTGGGAGTTTTAAAAACATATTAACCACATACAATTTTCACTGACTATGAACTTAACAGAAAAAAAACACAAGGTACAATGGACAGACAACACAACAATGCACAGGCACCCTTTCCTCCTCCTCCTCTGTACAGTGTGAAATGCTGGGAGCTGGTTTGATGCTGAACATTTCTTCTGGGCTCTGATGATCCCTGAACCCACATCAACTCCTTCCCCAAGCCTCAGTCAAGTGAAGACCTTCACGTGCAGATGCTTGGGCTCCTGCCAGCCTTCCAGTAGGTGCTTGCAGCATGTCAGACAGTTCTCCGGACACACAAGCAGGAGACAGAGGAAAGTGACAAGTGCTTCTGTGGATTAAGACAATCTGCTCAGACAGTTTAAGCAAATTCAGTATGGTGAGCTGAGGGTACCAACAGCAGAAATACAACATGCAAATACAACTGGCGTGTTACTGGGTGGTGGAGTTCCCTTCTTGTGATCACCATAAGAAGAAATTTAAAAAAATAACTCAGAAGCTTAAGGACCACTTTATTACCATTTGAAAGAAAAAACAGGGCAGGCAAGCTAAAACTCTCAGCAGCTTAGAAGAAGAATGAAAGGTAAGAAATAATCATGCCCTTTTGACTTTGGGTCCAAAAGAGCAATGGATAGAATCAGTGCAAGCATGCTCAGGACTTTGGATGGCATCCAGAGAACATATAGAAAGGGCAGCATGCCTTCAGATTCAGGTTTCGTTAAATATATGCTTTGGGCAGCTTAGAAAGTTATGTCTCTGCCCAAGGCCAGAGGTAGAACTCAGATTCTATTCTTGTCCAGAAAGATAGCTTTCCCTTAACGAACCTCAAAATAACCCTGCTTTCTTCACACACTTTCATGTGGTATTTTAAATTTTGATTTGAGGGGCAATTATGCTTCCTTTTCTTGACATTGGTGTTACCAGGGAAATGAGTGTTGGGGTCTAAAGCTGGCCCTCCATGAGGATAACAGATAACAAATAAATTAAAACAGTGCCCTCCTTAACAGCTGCATGGGGGACTCCTTTGCTTTTCTTTCTTTCTTTTTCTTTCTTTCTTTCTTTCTTTCTTTCTTTCTTTCTTTCTTTCTTTTTAGGTTCTGGAAGTTGTCAGCAAACTGGCTTATTAGATACATCATTTATACAAATCTCTATCATTGCAGATATTCCCTGTCTCTGTCTACTTCATTAAAAGATTAGTGAGCAGTCTTTATAATCAATTTTATTGTAAAAGCTTGAAAAGTACATAAGTACATTTGGGAAGCACTTTAATCTACCTATCATTATGGCACACAGGAGCAAGGCAGGGACATGCCTCAGTCTAACAGGATCCTAGGCAGGCAGAAGGGCGTCTGTCTTCCAGCTTGCTTTCAGGCCTTTAACCCTTTGCTTTGGAAGGCTACGCTCTTGCCGACATCCCTGCTGAATGGAATCCAGCTGAAGACTCCTGAGTCATTTATTGCCTTTCTCCTGGCTCCACCCAGGCCTCTGGGCTTCCTGCGTGGGTCCCTCTTAGCAGCTGTTTGAGTCCACTCAAGAATGACCCCCAATGCCATGACCTCATAATTTACAGGACCTCAGGGCCTCTGGCTGGCCTCTGGCGGGCCTCTGGCTGGCCTCTGGCTAGCCTTTGGCTTCCTGTCTTTTCCTGGATACCTCCATTTGGGGCCTGACTCTTCTCTCAGATGGCAGGCAGCAGAAGGCCCGTAATAGACTGGCCCCAATCCTCCTTGCCCACCTCTTACAGCTTCTCCACGCACCTTGGATTGTGTCTGCAGTCCCGCTGTGCTGTGTCCCTGTGGGGTCCCGAACAGCACCACAAGCGGGTGTCCTCTTCTGCAGGCAGTGGCGGGGGGCAATTATAGGCACAGTGACACTTCTGAGCCTTTGCCCTACCTTCTGGCTGTCCTTTGCAGAGTCAGTTTTCAAGGATAATGAGAGAAAGGATTGAAAGACTGACACATCAGTTGTCCTCTTTCGGCACCCAGGGAAGGCGACAGGATCTGTACGCATGGGAAAAGGTGTTGTTCCTGGTTGCACTGCCTTGGTTTGCCTAATCAAGCCACCCTGCTGGCGTGCCCGGCATTGCAGTAGGCCATAGGTTGCCATGGGTTCATTGAAATACCTATGGAGTACAGATTTCCGGATGTCACGTGGGTCGAACCCCATCTCTGCCATGGCTGCCATGATTGCAGGGTCCGGGTGGCTAGGGCTTATCTCATCACATGGGCATGATGAACCCTCATCTCCTTCCCTAAGCCAAGGATGCCCCATAACGTCCTTTAGTGTTGGTCTCTCCATAGGGTTTACAGTTAATAAGCGGTGGATAATGTCCTGCAGCTCTTGTGAGAGGTGGGAGGGAACTGCATACAGTCCTAGTAACACTTTGCACTGAAGCTCTTTAAAGGTGGAACCATCAAACGGCAGGGTCCCGGTCACCATAAAATATAGGAGAACACCTAGGTTCCAAGTATCCACTTTGGTGCCATCATAGGGCTGGCGCAGGAAGAATTCTGGGGCACCAAATTGTAAGGCACCGCAAAACCTAAAAAGCTTCCTCCCTGGCCTGATTAAGGCACCCAGGCCAAAGTCTATAATTTTGACTTTGCCCGTAGCATCCACCATGATATTGTCTGGTTTGAGGTCTCTGTGCACTATGCCTCGGTCATGGCAATAGCACATGGCATGTACGATCTGTTTGAATATCTTCCGGGCTATGTTCTCCTGCAGGTGGCCGACTTCTTGAATCCAGTCCCACAGCTCGCGTCCCTCAGCCAGTTCCAGGATCAGAAAGATGTTCTGTTCTGTTTCAATAATCTGGAGCAGTGAGATGATATTGGGATGGTTCATCCTCTTCATTATCCCCACTTCAGACCAAATCCGGAAGATCTGTTGCTTCCGCTTCAGCAGGACTTTTATTGCCACTTCAGCGCCCGTGAGGCGGTGTTGGGCTAGCTTCACCTCGGCGTAGCTTCCCTGACCTATGGTCCTCAGGATTCTATACTGTGCCAGGAGAGTCTCATACCAGTGGATGGGCACAGGGCTGGGCCCTATTGTCAACTCATCCCTTGGGCCACACATTATTGGTAGCAAAGCTACCTAAATAATTAAACAAATAAATAAAATTTAAGATTAAAATGAAAATAAAATTTCAAAAATTAAACCAAAATAAAACAAAATCCCCCCTCTCTAACACACACACACACACACACACACACACACACACACACACACACACACACACACACAAATTCACCATGTATCAGTCAAATTTCACTAAACACTGCACCAACCAGAACGCCTCTCAAAACACCTACAGAAAGCCAACCTAGTTCATCCTCCCTTATACCTGCTGGTTCAGACTTCCTCACAATGGCCCCTCCTCATGAGGTCATATTAGGACATAGACCAATTACTATGGGCACAGTTCATAGTAAGGGAAAGTAGTCAAGACTCTGTCTTAGGTAGGCTTAGGAGATTGGCATTTGAGCTTTTAGAAATGTAAGTGTTAATATCCTCTTGGTTTCTAGTTTGGAAGTCTCTAATACCCTCTGTTTTCAAGACCTCTTGACCCCTCCATTCACCATTACACAATTTCTTTCAAATCTGACTAGTTGGTTGCAAACAATTGTTACCACTTAACTGATAAATTGTTTATAAAATGTAATATAGTAATGTGTTACCTATGAAGCTAATCTTAAGATACCTTTTATATTTTTAAATACGTGTAATAGTACACCATGACTCTTTCACACTCTATGAGGTGACAACATCTTTTCCATCACCAGTGTAGTGGCAGCTCACCATGGCAGCAGCTGCCTTGACCTTAACTCTACCACATTGTAGATGACCCTGAAGAGCATCCAAAGCCTTATAGAATAGAGTGTCAGTTGGGTGAGCATGGCACCTTGATCATCAATATCCACAGTCCTCTTCAGCTGATGTTTGATCATGTTGAGAAGGGTGTATCCTGCCCTTGGGATACAAGGCTCTGTCTCGAAGCTGTCCACCATGTTGCTTCTGTCTTGAATCCTCACTGAATTTCCCTTTGTGCAGCCCTAGCTCTGTCTCTTTGGCATAGTGGCTGCTTCTGCCTTTAGTGACTGGATTTTATATAACAGAACTGGGCAGTTATTTGGGGTTTGCCTGTTGTTTGTTACAGTGCCTTTATTTAGTCCCCAAACCATCATACACCTCAAAAGCTACCATCGTGAAAAAAAAAAAACAACAACACATTTTTGGTTTCTATTTCATTAAGTTTTCAAGTTTTTCTCAAGAGTATGTTCTAGGTAGCATGTATTCCTCTCCTGCCTCATTCTTCCTACCCTTCCTTTTCTTTCTCCCCCAGTCCCTTTTGTTCACCTAGACAATTTCACTCCACTTCTACCTAATCCATATATACATGATTTTATGTGACTATATAAAATTTAGGAAAAATGTGCTAGGTTTGTCTTTCTGAGACTGAGTGCCTTTCCTGATCTATCTCCAGTATACACAGACGACAAAACACTGTTCTTTAGGGCTAAAATTTAGGGCTGAGTGTAGAATACATTCCTTATCCACTTTTCCATTATTGGACATCTGGGCTAATTCTGTACCTCTGCTATTGTGAAAAATGCTGCAATAATCATCGATATACAAGCGTTTCTGTGATACAGTGACTTTGGGGTCTTTGGAGTAAATACCTGGAGGATAGCTGGGTCAAATGGAAATGCTGTTGTTTTTTGAGAAACCTCCATATTGGTTCCAATAAAAATACAAATCCTGTATTTCCTTTTGTTCACAGCCACACAAGCATTTCCTGTTATTTGTTTTCCAATCTGACTGGGGCAAAGAATAAACTCAATGTGGTTTTAATTTGCAATTTTATGACTAGTGAAGTTATACATGTTTTCATATGTGTGCTTGCTGGCTATTTGAATCTCCTCTTTTCTGAACTGTCCACTGAATAAGCCCACTTGTTGACTGGTCTGTTTTCTTATTGCTTGGATGTAGAGCTGGTCAAGATTTTCTCTCATTCTGTTCATTGTTTCTTTTGCTGTGTAGAGGCAAAGCTCACTCTTCTAAGCATAGCCATTTATTTAGACCCTTTCTGAGGCAATGAGACTGCATCTTGGTTTGGTAATATTTACAGAGACCTTACCTAGAAACATGATAGCGGTCAAAAGTTTCAAGGAGAAATTCATTTGGAGGCCACATTATGCCACACAATACACACATTTTATATACTGCTCTGGGAGTCTGTTGTTGTTCATTTGTTAGAAACTTTTCTTACAGCAGCGGTGCTAGTAAAGGTAAAATTAGCTGAAAGTGGAAGAGACAGAAGTTGTCTGTGATGCTTCAAATCTTAACAACTTGACTTTACTGAGAGATGCTGAGAAGATTGGGAAAGCACACTTCTGGGTATATCTCGGAGGGGGTTTCCAGAGATGACTGGCATGTGGGACAGAAACATAGTGTGGAAGACCTGACTGTAGACAACACCACCCTGCAAGTGAGGGACTTGGATGAAAGGGAAAGGAAAAAGACAGTTAGTGTGGGCTCCTATTTCTTCTCTGCCTCCTTCCTAGCCATGATGAACCAGCAGCTCTTCACCAGCTCTTCTCCTATGAGGGCTCATCTGGTCACCTCACTACCAGCCAAACAACCTTGGCAGCCTCTGAAACCATAAACCAAAGTAACATTTTCCTCCTTTTGAGTGGTCATGTGTTTGGTCATGTGTTCTGTCACCAAGATTAGAAATTCACAGTTTGAAACTGAACACATCCAGTTTGCCTGAACTCAGCTACAGGCAGAGGTTGGAAGTGAATCAAAAATTAGGTGGGAAGGAAAACAAACAGATGTGCCGCAGAAGAGACTGTTCTGCCCAATATACTAGAAAAAGTGGGGATCAGAGAGGATTTATTCTCAAGAGCAAGGGCTGGGAGGCAGAATACAACCCACAAATCCTGCTCCACCCCAGCCACCCATGTGCTACTTCTAAGGGTGCTTGATCACTTCAGCATTCAGAATGGCATTCCACCTCTTCCTAGGGCATCTTTCCACATGTAACAGCCTTAACACTGCTATAGCACACACAGACACATGACAATGCTGGAAGAACCCATCCACACAGTGTTACAAAACCTAATTGTTAAAGCTCTTATTAGGAAGCTGAATGGGAATCAAAACCCAACCATAGTTAATTAGCTTCTATGCCTCCTTGATTACACCATTGTGGAATCTTTTGGCTGCAAAGAACTAACTAGACTGTAGACAACACTACAGCTATACACACAATGAAAGAGAATCAGAGACAAGGACGTCAGTGCTGGATAATGGTACAGGTTCGGGGGTCTCACAAAAGCAGAAGGACCTGAGAAAGAGCCACAGGCTCGACTCCTTTTTTCTTAATTACTGCCCTGACACTGCAGCCCAGGAATAGAAAATCAAGCATCATTTTCTTGCCTAACCCCACAGTGATACTCCCAAGAGTTGTTCATCACTCACAGCATAAAATAGAGCATAATTTTTTATTTTCTGCTACTCTATATCCCTGCATGTCTTTGTAAAGTAATACTTGACCAGTCAGTGAAGCAATGAAACTTAAAAGATTTTAGTGTTTGTTTTATAATTTAAAAACTAAACAAAACAAAAACCTCTAGTCCTTTGGAGAGATATTTATCCCATTCTTCACACACATTTGAATGTGCATCATTATGGAGATTGTTCAAATGTTGCTAAACACTCTAAGATTACACATAAAAAATAATATATGTAATTTTTTTGTTTGTGAGATTTCTTTGAGACTTTGAGATTTCTCCTGTAGCCTAAGTTGGATTCAAATTTACTCTGTAGCTGAGGCTAACTTTCCTTCCACTTCCTGCCTCTACTTCTCCAATAGAATTACAAGCATGTGCCACCAAGTTCAGACCACACACACTGTTTTATGCTTCCATTGTCTCTGTGGTATCAACTCATGTGACCCACACAACACTCATTCAGTTATTTACCATGCCCATTTCAGACTCAAAAGGACTGAAGTGGAGGAAATGTGGTGGGCTTGCCCAAATAATGCCACAGTATGGAAAAAGCTCACCTGAAATTTCAAGGGCAAAGCCTCTCCTCTTTCACCAGGTTTCCTATTTGCCATATTACAAGTCCAAACACAATCTGTAACAGGCACACACTTCTCTAGAAAGGGGAAGAAGCTGTTTTGAAAAATATATTGGTGAAAATTATGTATTTGGAGTGTTTTGAAACTCAAAAAAAAATAAGTCTACTCAGAGAGGGAAAAAAATCACAGTGACACATGTCAAGTGTGGAGAAAAAAAAAATCTAACAAAAGTATAGTATAAAAAAATCCATTGCTCTATTATGATTTTGATCTAAAGTGTTCCTCTCAAATACCATGTGACTGAAGTTCCCCCCATGCAGCAGTGTTAAGGGTGGTGTTTTTAGAGGGCGATTAGATCTTGGAGACTCTGACCTTATCAATGGACTAATAAATTAATAGATTCTTAATTTGGTGGAATTACTTGGAAGTAAGTGGCAGAAACTTTAGAAAGTGGGGACTATTTGAAGGAAGTAAGTCACTGGGTATACCCTAAAATGGCATCCTTCCTCTAGCTCTCAGCCTCCTGTCTGCTATGGCATGACCCACTGTGCTCTGCCTCACCGTGGACCTAGAGTCAGTGGAACCAGGTGAAGATAAACTCACACCTCTGTTTTTGTCAGTTACTTTATTACTGGGATGGATGGAAAGCTGACTCAACCTAACCACCTTCATTGAAACGAGCACAGAATTGATAAAGGTCTAGACTATCTTATGTAGTAACAGCAGCGATGTCTAGACCAATGGTTCTCTACCAAGAGTGATGGTTGTCACAGTGATGGGAAGAGTGTCAAGTTGTCCAGGAATAGAGAGAGGCCAGGGATGTAGCTAAACATCCTTGATAAACACAAAGCTGATGGTTGGTGCCTAGTAAATAATAGTACTCAATAGATTAACATGGTCACCCCAAGAATATTGCCCTTGCATTGGCCATTGTATCTCTAGAAATAATTCATAAGCCAAAGCAAACTGGGGGAGACTCCAGGCT